AAATTTACAATTTTAATTTTAAATTAAAATTGACGGAGAGTAATGAAATCAAAAAATAAAAAGTAAAATAAGGAATATAATAATTCGCTGGATATTAAAATGAAAAATGATTAAAGACTTATTGATGCCATTGGGAATACCAGCTGAAATGAAGAATATTTCAGTTACCAGATAAAAATGTGGCATACTTTATCGGAGTTGAATTAATTAAGTATTGCATATATATATATATATATGGCAAATGAGATTTTCAGTTCAGCTAGCAATATGCATTTTCGATTGGGTATTTTGAATGTACAAAGATTGCGCTTGCGTCATAGCTATAAATGATAATTCCCATGTGGTTGTGGTAGTTGCATATGCTACAATTGGAAATATAAGGGGCAGAGCCTCAGGGGTTGCCTTTGGCATTGAGCGTTATATGTACATGTGTGCGAATAACGATGATTATGATGATGATCATCCGCTGGTGGCGATGTTTGCAATTGGAGTTGGAGTTGCAGTTGCAGTAGCAGCAAAACATCTTAAATATATTTTCTAATTACTTGTTCGCGTTCGCATGATGCTATCAGACGATGCCGCCTTGCCGCCTTCCTCCAACTCCGTGTGCATTTTTCTGCAACGATGCAGTTGCATCGTGGGGCACTCAACAAACGTGCCACGCAAAGAAAATAGGGGGCCTTCGCTTTGGATGTGGGGGCAGCTGGCTGCAAAACGTGTACTGGGGTTGGCCTGAGTGCATTGGCGACACATAAATTGTAAATATGATAGAAGAACATGCAACACTCTTTTACTCTCTACTGCTGCTGCTGATGTTGCTGCTGCTGATGTTGCTGCTTCCTCCCGTTTTGCGAATAATTATTGCAATGCGTTTTGTTGTCTTTTTGTTGTTGTTTTTTTTTTTTTTTGGGCTTTACACATATTGTACGCACATATGTACACTCAGAAAAACTCTATCTCCATTTCAGAATCTGAATTTGGAAGTAGTAAGTTGAATGATTTCTCAATTTCAGAATATTTAATGTGAAAATCTGTAATCGACTTTCTTAAATGATTTTTAATTTATTTAGTAATTAGTTTTGACTAAAAACAGTGCACAGTAAAAAAAAAAATTAAATTATATAACATTAAATGTAATCAAATGCAAAATAGTGCAACATTTATTGCGAGGATTAGGGAAAACCAGAGAAAAACCCAATCAGTCCAACAATTGTTAATCCTTACTAGTAAAATATAAAAAAAAAAACATAAATAACTTTACTTAACTGTAGGATTAAAAGGCAATTGTATATGGATTTTTCAGAATTTGGTAAGCAATTTGAAAATTGGCAGAAAACAGCACTTCGACTTATTAAGCTAAACTTAAAAGTATTTTTTTTTTGTAAATTTATTTCAGAAATGAAAAAATGGTAATTGCGTTTCAAGTTGTATTAATTACTGTGCCATTATCTAGGGTTAATATTTGTTTGCAAGTGTAACGCAGTCCAAGCGTGACTTCTTGCCCATTCATGTACTTATTGAACACGCGCCTGCCTATTTGCATTTCTGCGGCACAATGTGATTGTTGTTGCCATTCGCTGTCTGGGCTTTAATGTAAACATTGCCACATTTTGCTACTTTAACACATTTGTGCCGACTTACATTCAGCTGGCGATTGTTTGCACAGCCAGTGCGTGGCTGATGCTGTAAAACTGTAAAATATTTAACCAGATATTTGCATATGCGCTCAGCTTTGAATGGTGTATTTGTAATTAGTACGAATCGCCTCGGTTGGCCAGCGAAAGTCTTGACCCACAACCGCAGGCTAATTGGGCACTCTCTGAACGCGAACCGATCCCCCCCTTCTGACCAACATAAAACTACCAGGAAGCAGTTTGTTGATTTTCTCATAGTAGAAGTAGAAGTATATGTTTATCACTTCACTTTCTTTTGCAATTTCTCCTCTTGTTAAACAAAAAAAAAAAACAAAAAAAAAAAACCAACTTGCACTTGGGGTTATCAGCTACACTGAAAGAACACAATCAGTATGCTGTACATTTGTAAATCAAAAAATATTGGGCGCAACTGTTTTTTTTCCTTTTCTTTTTCGAGTTGAAAATTTTGGAAATTGATAAAAAAAAAATGGATTTCGAGTAAAAATGATTTTGTATATTTTTTTAGTGTAGTGGAGTGGAGAAGAGAAAGGCGTAAACTAACGAGTGTCATAGTGTGCACACACACACACACACACACACACATATATATATATATATCGAGCAAAGGAGACACACGCACAATTATAGCTGCATAAACATTGTCCTGGCGAAGGAGTGTGCTCCCACAGATTGTGTTGGCAGCTTGAGTGCTTTTTGCTGCCGACGACTCCTGACTGCTAGTTTGCACAGATTGCACAGTTGGCACAGTTTGCACAGTTTCCACAGTTCGTACAGCATTCAGCTGCTGCTGTTTGGCTTGTGTTCGTACACATCCTTTTAGAGAAGCGTTTGTTGTTGACAATGTTTAAGGGTTTCCGTTTTTCATGTTGGCAGCGTTAAGTGCAGCCAATGCCCAGGTTGTGTTGAGATTATCAGCAGCTCGATGCTTTAATTCCAATTCAAGCGGAATTGCTTTGATTCAATTTCAACACCCGCTGTTCGCATTGCAATGGCCGAGTAGCTAAATTTAGACGCTAATTTGGTGACCTGCTGTGCCAAACAGAGCGCACTGCACTCCATCGGTTTGCCAAGCTGTCCCATTGTCGTCTCAGTGCCCCAAAACATTCCTGTTCTCAGTCCCATCTCAAGTTACATAGAAGCAAAGACAAGAACAGAGGCAGAGGTACACACACACAGATAGAGATGGAGATGGGCAGGAAGATGGAGCAAGAGAAAGAGAAAGAGATCAGGGAATGCGACTCAAATTACCAACCGAATTCTGGACTTTAACCTGCTATGGAGTCATAACTTGGTGGCTTTATCATCATCAACTTTATTACGTTTTGCACAATTTCGGACTATTTTTATTTGCTGTCTGTTCGTCTGTCTACACTCGAAGTAAAACTTTGCCTTAAACTCAAGTAGCGAGTATGCTTTATATGGCATACAAGTAGACTTGGCATCTCCAATAAAAGTACGATTTATATATATACATATATATATATTTTAATTGCTTACAAAAACATGTTTTATAAGACGACGTGTTATGATTGATTTAAGAGATACGTTCTTAATTTAGCAATAATTTGATTTATAAGAGTAAAATTTAACTCCAATTAATGAGGTTCTTCATAATTAAAGAACGTAGCTTACTTAAATTAAGAGGAAGTACTTATCTTGAAACAGTTTTACATTTTGGAATTTTAGACTTTATTTTAGACTATGAAAAAAAATTTGGATATATGACTTTTGATTCTGTTCTAGGATATTCCAACATCTTCTAACATTCTCTGTGCTTATAATTGATTTAAGTACAAAATTATTTGTCATACGAGTATATCAACTGATGTTATAATTAAGCTGGGGATCAGTAGTAGCTCAACTAAAATAGCTAAAAACATTTTATACACTGAACCCACAAAAATGGTAAAAGGGATTTAATGAAGTTTTGCAGAAGGACGAATCTCCGACTGTCCGTGCGTCTGCTTGGATATGCCGATCTCAGAAACTATGATAGCTGGAGACTTCAAATTTTGAATTTAATTTCTAGTAAGCCATTCGCAGGTCAAGGTTATTTTATTTTGCCGATAGCATATCGATTTTCGATAGCGATGAAAGACGCAAAGCCTGTCAATTTATACATATTTATTATACTCATCATGATTTATTATTGATCAACTGTAATTTCATTAAGATCCGATAAGAAACTCTGATTTTGTTAGAAAAAAAACTTGCATTTGTTCATTGAACTAATTAATATCAGCAGGTTCAGTATGAACTTAAAAACTGGCTTCAGTGGATCTCCTAGTCGGACTTCTTCTAGAGAATAACATTGCTACTTGTTTTGAGTTTGAGCTTTGAGTGTCAATAAGCTTTAACTAATCCATTTCAATTATATTAAAATAGACAAATTAAAGCTTCCACAGCATTTTCATGGCATTTCATGGAATATGGTTCAGTTTCAGTTAAGCTATTAAACTATTTGAAGATTTTCATATACATACATATGTATTTGCCAACGAAAATGAGATTGAATTGGCATCGTCTGATTCACAAATTTTAACTTGCATGACTTGCAAGCTTTCCATGTCAACACGTTTGTCCAAGCTGTTTGCGGGCAAAGTTATGATTTTGAATCATTTTATTTTCTGCAAACTTGGTTGATCTCAATTTATGCATCGGCGAACATAAAAAGGTAGAGAAGAAGCTGAAGCCCAGTAGCGGTCACTGGTTTGGTATCCATAGATGGCTAGAGGCGTTCGTCGCATCTCATCCGCATCCAAAGACTCAATTAATTATCAGCAATTAATCTCTCCTTAAGCCAGCAGCATGTTGTTGGGGTAATGCAAAGGCACTTAACACGGCAGGTGCTGGCAGTCTACAGTCTAAAGACTGAAGACTGAAGACTGTAGACTGAAGACTGTAGACTGAACACTGAATTCTATGTGCTGGGTGCTAATCGGTAAGCGAATCTTCTCATCCAAAAGCGTTTGCATTTGAATTCTTTACCCGTTGGACTGTGTGAAAAAATACCAAATTTCCTTAGCAAAATCTTACTAGAACAAAATGTTGTTATAAATATGACTAGATTATAAATAACAGCAAGCCGCGATTTTATCTGAAACGTGTCCCAAATTTGTGAAAACTAAATCAAATTGTGAAATCGATTTATTTTGTAAGTTCTGATTTAAGATAAGAATTACTATTTTGCTTTTCCTTTATTTTTACTTACACAAAGAGAGCCATTTTGGCCCACGGTGTCTGTTTTTGAAGCGTGCCAGTTGGTTAAAGTTCCAGGAAGTGGTTCTCGCATTTCACACAGCTGAGAATATTTAGCTAATTGTCGCTAAACTTTGCTCATTACAGCGCCGCCAGAAGGTTAGCGGCAAGCGGCAACATGTGCTATGGAGGGCCTGGGACTGGGCAGCAGACGCAACAACCACAACAACAGCAGCAGCAGCAGCAGCAACAACAACAATGGCAACAGCGTCGTCGTTGGTGCCGCAACATTGATCAGCAGCAGCAACAACAGCAGCAACAGCAGCAGCAGCGCCGTCAACAGCAGCAGCAACAACAGCGGCAACCAGCACCAACACGCTCATCATCTGGCCAAGTTGCACGTGCACTCACACACGCACACCAAGCTGAAACAGCAGCAGCAGCACCAGCAGCAGCAGCAGCCGCATCAGCAGCAGCAGCAGCAGCAGCAACATCAGCATTCGCATTCGCATCAGCCCGCCAATCAAAACTATTACACGCAACAGCAGACGCAACTGCAGCGACTCAAGCAGCAACAGAAGCTGCAACAGCAGCAACAACAACAACAATTGGAAGCCATTCATGGCATGGGCAAGGGACACGTGGCTAAGCATAGTGCTGGCTGTTTGCAGTTTCCACCGCCACCGGATTACCCGCCACCGGCTGCGAGCAGTCCGCTGCACAAGTCCGCCGGCAGCTCACCCATTGCCGTTGCGGCAATTGTGAGCAGCAACACAACGGTTGCTGTCAACGCCGGCAGCGTTGCCGTCAATGGCAATGGACGGCGCCAGTTGTTGCCTCGCTATCCGGATCCCGATCCGGATGCCATTGAAATCTGTACGGAGCAGGAGTTGTCACCGCATCATCTCAAGCAGCTGGCGCGCCAGAGCAAAACGCTGGGACGCGACAACAACAGCGGCGGTGACAAACAGTGGACGCAACTGCAGCAGGCGAACAGTCTGCATCATGTGCATCATCATCAGCAACATCCACATCAGCATCAACATCAACATCCTCATCTACATCAGCATCATGCGCATGCTCATCATCAACACCAACATCAACATCAACAGCAGCATGATTACTCATATGCGTACTATGAGCCGGGCGCCGCAATGCGGCACTCCAATGTACCCAAGCCGGATGGCAGCACAAATGTGGAGTCCAGTTGCTGTGCGGCTGCGTTGCAGCCACAAGTTGATGTTGGACCACCGCCACCCAACTCGATACGCGCCCTGCTCTCCAAGGGCAAGAAGAACAAGCAGCTGGTGTCGCCGGCGACGCTGCAATCGTATCAGACGCGCTACCACAAGCTGACCACAGCTGCAGCAGCAGCAGCAGCAGCAGCAGCAACGGCATCAGCAGCGGCAGCAGCAGCAACAGCAACAACAACAACAGCAGCAGCAGCAGCTGCAGTTGTTGCCAACCAGAGCGAGAATTTCTACGAAGAGATCAATGCGGCCGCGTTGCAATCGGGCAAGGTGGCACAGCAACAATTGGGCTGCAGCATTGGGTCGCATTCAGCGGGCTCACTGAATCAAACGCTCGTCGAGGAGGAACTGCGTCGAGTGCAGCATCGTCATCACAAGATACTCGGCGAGCTGAATCTCAGCGTGGAGGCGATGCTTATGCCCGAAAGTCCGCCCAAATGCAGTCCACCAGCTGGAGCTGGTGCTGCTGGTGCTGCTGGTGCTGTTGCTGGCACTCCACCCAAGCCAAGTCCGACGGTTTGCGTGACGGCAACAAGCGGACAGCCAGCGATTCTCGGCCGGCTCACATCCACCTCGGCGGACAATATCTGTGATACAAGCAGCAACGTTGGCGGCATTGAGCAGCTGCTGGCAACGCTCAAGGGCCAGCAAACGACACATATCGCTGGCAACAACAGCAACACCAGCTGTGGGGGCACCGCCAGCGCACAACAAACCAGTGTCGCCACCACAGCCGGTGGCGATTTGGATAGCGGCTTCAGCGGCAGCAGCGGTGCCAGCTACATTGGCAGCCTACGTCTGAGCAAGACGCAGCACATCAAGTGCGCCCGACAGACGCCCACAGCAACGGCGGCATATGCCACACAAAGTTGCCGTTCGTTTCAACGCTCCACAGCGTATGATGAAACAATTGCCACGGCCAGTGCCACAACCAGCTCGCTAATGTGCGCCTCGAATTCCACATTTCTGACGCGCGCCTCCTGCGGCCGCCGCATTCTCAGCTGTGCGCGGATACGTGCTGCCGAGGATCCGGGTCCCACTGTGCCCACGGAGTCGAAGGCGCGCAGCTTCTGGAATCGCAAGGGATGGCGCAAATTACCCGGCTTCTCCACATCCACATCGAGCATCAATGACACGGGTCTCGCAGGTGAGTGAGATATAAAAACAAAAACAAAAACCAAAAAAAGGGTCCCAAAATATTTATCAAATATGCAAAGATTTATACACAAAATTACTATGCATTTAATAATAATGTTCATATAAATGGGAACGACACAAGTTGTTTTTTATATTTTAAATAAGCACTTTGCTTAAATGCATTATAAATGGAATAATATTATATATAATTTGAGTTAGGGTCCGATAATATCTATTCTATCTGTAGAAAATTATTATGAATAAAATAATAATTGCCATATAAACATGATTTATTTTTCACTTTGCAATTTGAAGAAAATTTAAGTGAATCTTTCTTTTGCAAATGTTTTTCAAGGTCTTTAGAAAGTTTTTAGATACATTTCTCATTTTGCGTAGATTTATAGATTTCTGTGCAAATATATTTATTTAAACAGAAGCAGAATCAGTATTCTTCTTCTTTTTTTTTGTGAGCAATGTAACTTTGTTTGAAAATTGAGTTCTCAAATATATTTATATCATATATATTTTATTTTTTCTTTCATTTTTGATTTTTGGTGCAATTTTAAGAGCTTAGTTTAAAAAAGATACTCAATTAAGAACATATTTAAATTTGTTCACCATATTAATTAAGTGTATTTGTTTTTAACAATACATAAAAATGTTTAAGTATTATTACTAAAGTGTTACATACATTTATTGAATGGTTACAACGCTCAAAATGCAAGCTTACGTGATGCTGCTTGCTGTTGTATGCCGCTTAGAGTTGCGCATTGCTTGCGCCATCTGTTGTATTTTTCTGCAATGTGTCGTGTCTTGGCTAAAAGGTGTCGTTCCGTACTTAACGAAATTTACATTCCGTTTGCGCACATTCGTAGCATATTGTTGGGAACATATTTTAAATTGTAAATCATAGCAAGCTTTTAAATGCGTCACTTGCTTAACAGTTGCAAGTTTTCAAATGAAAACTTGTTTTCATATATAAACAATGCAAAGCTTATTTAGATTACAATTTATGTGCAGGCTTCTGTTTATATATGTCTGCCAATCAGATTAATGCATTGCCGAATTCTTCGTTGAGTTCGCTGCTTGAATTTAATACTACGCTTAGCGGGCAATCAATGAAATCGAGCTAAGCTCGCAACAGGCTGTTTCCCCTCACATCACCGCACACACACACACACACACACACACACGCTAACAACTTGCATGTGCAGGCAGGCAGCGGGTATATTTTTTGTGGCACATGCTCCGCTGGCTCCGCTCCGCGTCGTCGTCGTCGTCGTTGGACATCGTCGTCGTCGTCGTCGTTGGACATCGTCGTCATCGTCTCGTCATCGTCATCGTCGTTTTTTTAGTCGCTGTTTTTGTTGGCTCATTTTTTTTGGGCTACATTCCCATTCATCGGCATTCAGCGGATTCAGTAGAATCGATCTTGTCGTGCTTGCTGCATGCTCTGCCAGGCTGCGCTATCGTTTTCTGTTTTCTGTTTTTCGTTTTCCGTTTTTCGCTTTATCACCCCACAAATAAATAATAGCGTACGCACACACACAGACACACTCACGCACATGCACACAGCTGCACATCAATTTTCCTGCTTTTTATTCTCTTATTTTTTTTTTTTTTTTTTTTGGTGCACAAGTGCAAGTGTGTTGGTTATTTAGGGCTGCGAGAGTTGTGCAAAAAATACATACCAATAAAACTGTGAGTCTCTTTTATATCTCTCTGTGTGTGTGTGAGTGCTAGTGTGACTGCTTGTGTGTGTGTGTGTGTTCTTGTTGTCATATTTGTTTGCAATGTTTGCTGCCTCAACAAAACAACGACAAACTGTCGACCTCGCTGACCCCACTCGACCTATTAACCAACAAAACAAATGCTGCAAACGCAGCCATAGCAACAATTTTGCCGTCCTTCACTCTGAGGGAGGCGTTAACAATGCGTTGTCGTAGTCGTTGTCGTTGTCGATGGCAACATAAATATATAAATACACACACACACAGGCACTCATACACATGTTCATCATACATAGGTATTCAAAAATAAATCGAGAATAATTAATTTAAGCTGCAAGCTTGGCAGCCGTCTGCCTTTGCATTATCAGTTTGAGCGCATTTTTTGTTCGTTTCTAATTTGAGTAAACACATTAAATTGACGAACGATTTGTTAACATTTCAAACATTCAAAAAAGTCCAAAGCCTCATTTTGTTGGCTGATCTGAGATGATGTTGCAACTAGAGAGATAACCGCAAGGCGATGACCCGACTTATTACTTATGTATTTCCACTGCACACACACAAACACACACACAGGCATACAGAGAGAAAGTCATATATATATATTTATATACATATATACACATAAAGAAATTGCAACAATTGATCGGTGTAACAAATACGATTTCGGGTAATGCATTGGAATGATGGCATTCCATTTAATTAAATCCGCACTGGATGGCTCTCATCATCAGCATCATCATCATCATCAGCATCCGTCACTGATGATTCGCAATAATCTCGAACTGAATCTAAATCAACAGGGCAACGGTGTTATCCTGCTAAAATGTGCGTATTTATTACATATTTTTATTTTCTACTTTATTCAAGATATTGATTTATTTTTGGCCTCTTTTTGTTTCTCAATCCAATCAATTATATATATATATATATATATATACTTTCACATATTATTTTTATGCACTGTTTAATGACAGACTTTTATTCTAGTTTTTTTGATTTAATATTGATGACAAATGTAAAAAAAAAAATATATATATATTTATAAAGTCTGTCTTCAAATAGAAAACTTTTCCCACTATAAACGAAATATATTTAAGCAGAGCATATTTATTTTATTACTAAATATTGGAAACACTCAACAAATGATGAACTTTGTCATAAATAAGACGACTTAATTTTCAGCTTAATATTGATCCTGAATTCGAACAGGATTCGATAAATAAGAGCATTGATCACATTGATAACGGCGAACTTAAGTGAACATGTTTGTTTTTTAATACACTTCGAGATTTGAATTGAAATTTTAAGTAATTGTGGAATGCACAGCTTCTGATGAATAATATTGCCTCATTTTATTGTACTTGTCGGTTTTGTTGTTCTGTCGTTTTTACTGCTTTTGTATTGCCAAATATCTTGTAGATATATTTATTTATACATCTGTTAAGCAAATAATTCAATTTTAATAGTGCTTTCTTTGCGAGTGCAAATCAATTAAAATGCAAAAGTACAAGTATACAAAAATAAAACTTTAATACAAAGAAGAAAGAACAAACGCTGTACTCTCGATGACGAACCTTTGTATATGTCATTTGTATATTATTCAAAATATATTATAAAATTACCGATTGATTTGAATAAAACAGCTGATCTACTCATTTTTATTTTCATTTGCGAAATGACATGAAAAAGAATTAAAAAGACGATAACCAGTTTACTGCAAACAGCCCAATAACTTAGAGTTCACTTTAAAAATGAAAAAATTACATTTCTATTTGGCTTTCAGCATTAAATTATTATACAAAATTGAATCATACAAAATAAATGAAATGATCTGTCTTGAAATATCAATTTTGACATTGGTATTGCCATACTTTTCATAACATCGATACAAACTCTCGAAATACTCTATGCAAATTTCTAAAATCCTCAACATACTTTACGAATTTTGAATGTGCAGAATGTTGTCCCATGTGGACAACTGGACAGGCATCAACTCTACATTCTATAGATTATATTTGGGAATATAGGAAATGTTGATGGTAGGCTATTAAATACTTAGATTTCAATTCGATTTATGACAAACTAAAAATTCCCCTCTGCTCGTGTATAAGAACACAATAAGCAGAAACAAATGAATTAAAAGCTTTGCACTGCGTTAAGATCAATACCAATGTTAATATGTTAATAGCAATAACAATAATAAGAATAACAATAAACAGAATAATAACAACAATAATAAACACACACATACACATTTTATTATAAATGGAAATACCAAAAGCTCAAATTTGAATTCGAATTTGCGAAGCAGCAAAAAGCGAGATCAAAAGCGAATGCTAAATTCGCAGGTGACGGCACTAACCTCACCCACAGTAAAGCCAGATAATATAAATAATAAGTGCGATCATAATATATAATATGTATAAAATAAAATATATTTATATTTATATATATATATATATACATTCAAGTGATTTTATATCAATGGCGCGTGCTGATCTACTAAACTATAGCTTCTGTTTGAAATCGGAATCAGAGCTCAGAGATGCACACATATAATAAAAAAAAAACACAGCCAGTCAGCCATATATGTATATATATATATATGAATGATCATACAGATGCACAATCCACTTCGAGGGGTCGTCGCCTCGGGAGACGCACTCCAGTTCACCTCGTGTGTATGGCTCCATTAGCTCACGAGTGGCGAGTGGCGAGTGCAACGACTATCTCCATACATTTGTGTGTTGTATACAAAAATAAAAAATAAATAAAACCGAGTACTTTATGCTTTCTGAGATGGCTTATTATTGCAGCAATAAAGCACACCAAATGTAAAAAATAAAACAGGACAAAAGACCAAAATCCAGAATCCAATTATTAAGTATATTTTACATTAATTGCGAGTATAGAACAACATATTTATATATATTCTATATGCTACTTGTGCTGTGTGTGTGTGTGTGTGTGAGTGTGTATGGCTCACGCCAATTGTTAACTAATTTTCGAGTTATCCTAAGCAGTTAAGTGCTCGTTCAATTCAATTAGCAGACATTGCCAACAATTGAACAGTTTTCTGGATGCCATTGCATCTGTAGCTATATCTACAACTGCTGCCTATGGAAAACTATCAGATACAAGCAGTTGCACATACGAAAATATGCGTTGCACTCTGCCATTGCCATTGTGTGTGCGTCTCATTGTATGAATGTCTATATGGACTGTCGAACGTCAGCTGTTGCTATTGTTATTGTTATTGTTATTGCTGCTGTTATAT